GCATGCACACACGCACACGCACACACACACACACACACACACACACACACACACACACACACAGACAAGAGGTGCGTGTGCGTGTGTGCATGCATGCATCAGACAAGAGGTGCAGCCAACTGTGCAGCATTTGCATGACTAGCAGCTTCTCTGAGGACAAGTGCGGCTGACTGATAGGTGTATGCAGTCAGTCCCGAGTCACGATGTGTCGGATCAGTGCATTTCACTCTTCTGCTGCATTGTCATTGCTCCTTCTCCTTCGGTCGGTTTGCAGGTTCTGCGCCATGCCTTTCTGATCTCTTAGGCATACAACAGCGGCTGGTCAGCTTCCGCTTCTTGCATCTGACCCACCCACTTCTAATCCACCTTGCCCTGATTGTTCCCCCCTTGCAACTGACAATGATCCACCCTCTGATCATTTGATGGAGCCCCCAAATTGGAGATGATCTTTCTCCAGAACGCATCCTCGAGCCAATGGAGGTAACACAGCCAGAGCAACCTGATAGGAACTGACAAGACCAGAATGAACCCCCCCTTACCATGCAATCTGCAGAAATAAATGAGCCTCCTTCTGCCGAGCAAACTGCAGAAACAAATGATCTCATAGGGCTGCAGCGTGGCCACTGTGTGAACTACGCCATTAATCTATATCTCCTTGCTTACAATTACAACCCCTATACTGTTTCTGATTTTGCAGACATTGTCCGCTGGATAGAAGAAGAGCACAGTGCTGTCTGCCCAGAGGATGACAGTACTGCGCCTGACGTGAACAGAGAAGTTCTGTCTATGGCATTTATGGGAAGACGGCTGCAATTCCAGCCCACTACTGCAGAATTACATGCCAGACATTGATGACAAATATTTGTGCAATACATCCTGCATTGTCCGGGTCATTTCAGTGCTGTTACCTTTGCGGACAAGTCATGGACCTTATGGGACAACGGCGATAGGGTGCACACGGTGCGAAATATTCTCTTTCCATCACCGAGCGGCAGAATTCCACTGTGTCTGGCTCGCCAATCAGGAACAAGTATGTGGATGTGCACTCGCAAGCTCTACAGCCTCCAGACAACAATCCGGCTGAGCCTCCCTCCCCCCTCCTCTCTAAAACATAGCAACGCAGCGTCCCTTCCGTGTGAAATCAGACAGATTCTGCCACAGATGGTGAAGGGACCCCTCCCGAGGACGGTGGCTGTGCCATGCCATTGTGTCTCCACACAGCTCCAGTTCGGTTTAGCATGCACACGACCTAATCTCCGCTCCGAACAGTATGCAGGGATCGTCACTGCCAGTCTCTGCCTCGAAAACTGCAACCCATTGTCTTGCACCCATGCCCACCTTAGTGGTGGGCATGGGTGCAAGACAATGGGTTGCAGGTTTCACGGCAGAGACTGGCAGTGACGATCCCTGCATACTGTTTGGAGCGTTGGGCATAAACCTGCTGCGGCCGCAGTCTGTGTGTCTGTCTCTCTCTTTCTCTCTCTCTTTTAAATTCCCAATGTCTTGCACTCATGCCCACCACCCCCTGACATCCCGTTGTGGCCTTCAAATGCCATGCTTAAATAACTGTGAGCGTCAGCCTGCTTTCCTGCTGGCATGTCAGCAACATGCCATGCGTCGTCCATGCCTGCCATCACCCGCCACATCCTCTCCAAGCATGTCCCACATGCAGCGTTGGGCATAAAACTGCTGCAACCGCAGTCAGATCTCCTTCATCCTTGCCAGACGAACAACAGACACAGCAGCCTGAGGTGGAAAATAGGCTCTCACATGAACACCACCTGCAGCGCGCTGTACTGAAAGGTTGTCGCCGCCAAGGCGAGCTGTCAACTCGTGGTTTAGACCACCAGTACTTGGCCCCGGTTGAAAATCAACTCCGCGCCGGGTTATGCGGAAGCCAAGCAGGATCCGGCCGCCGTTCATAAAACTTAATTTCATCGGCGGCCCGTTTTCCATTTCGGGCCGAGCCCATGTATGGGCCAAGTACTGGTGGTTTAAGCGAGACCCTTTCACCAGCGCTAGGAATTTCTCACAGGCATTCTCCTTTTTGAACCTTTCACACTGCAATAGCTTTTTCCATTATTTGCATGATGATGACTTTGTGACTGACCCATAGAACAAAATAAAAACAGTTACAGTTAGTTATGTCGCCTTTGATGGCCTGGCCCACCTTTGGTGTTTTTTTTGGTTCCTTTATGAGGCTGGCAAGAAGGGAAAAATAAAAAGAAAAAAGAGGCCAATCCTACCGTTTGTCTTCAGAATCCCAGGGCCAAGTCGCACTAGCAGCATTGAGTTTCCTCAACGCCTGAATCTGGACGTGTTTGTGGAGATGTGCGGTTGAGGAAACTCAACTCGACGCTTTGAGATTAGAAAGGTGCATTGGCTGTTACAGGTTGTCCAAAAAAAGAAAAAAAAAAGAAGGAAAAAAAAAACCCTTTATTGCATATGAAATGGGAGGCTGGGAATCTCTCCAAAAACAACCTGGAAGGTAACACGTATTGGGACCATTACCTAGCTTAGGTGCATGCGTTGGGACTTTGTCCAGCGACAGAAATGGCCAAAGTGTGACCGCTGTGCTGACATTGGGCCTCTCGCTCCACTACGCTCAAACTGTGCAAAACGAGAGTGAATCTTCGCTAGAACATGGAAAGATACATCGCCATGCCTTTTGTCTTTTGTGCAGGTCAAGAGAGTAGTGGAGCAAGGCCAATTTGCCCAACCCTGGGATTACAGGTTGTTCCCTTTGTCAAGGACTCAACACTGGAGAAAATAGGGCTCTTGCCGCTCTTTCCTTTTTTTTTCTTTTTTTCTTCTTTTTTTTTTCTTCTTTTTTTTGTTCTTTTTTTTTTCCTTATTTGGCACGAACCAAAAAAAAATAATAAAAATAAAAAATGCTATTCCTAATTTCCTACCCTTTTTCCGCAGAATCCGGGACAGGATGGCATAACAGCTCCCATCATACGTCTCTCTCCCTTTTTGTCGCTTTCGGACCTGGAAAGCAAACTCAGGAAAGGGAGGACATCCACTTGCGTCAGTTTAGAAAAAGGGGAGAGAGTGCGGTCAGAAGAGAATGAATAAGATACAGTGACAAAGACCAGGTGCATTGTGTGCCGAACCAGCTGGTTTGTGTCGCTTTCACACCTGGAAAGCAAACTCAGGACAGGGAGGACATCCACTTGAGTCGGTTTAGAAAAAGGAGAGAGTGCGGTGAGAAGAGAATGAATAAAATACAGTGACAAAGACCAGGTGCATTGTGTGCCGAACCAGCTGGTTTGTGTCGCTTTCACACCTGGACAGCAAAGTCAGGATAGGGAGGAAAATCCATTTGGATCTGTTTAGGGAAAAAAAAAAAAAAAAAAAAAAATTATTGTAGGGTTTTTTTTTTTTTTTTTTTTTTTTTTTTTTTTTTTTTTTTTTTTTTTTTTTTTTTTTTTTTTTTTTTTTTTTTTTTTTTTTTTGAGACAAATGCTCCAATCTATTTGTGGGGAGCAGCACGTGCTGGGAATCTTGGGAAAGAGGGAAAAAAAAAAAAAAAGAGTTAGGTTAGCTCCCCCTTGCACCTCTTTTCATTGTTTTCAGTATTACCTGGAGCGTGGTCACATTAGCGATCGGATAGAGTGTGGCCGATCCAGTGTGACACTGTGTGGCAGCGGCCTGACAGGTTCATTACGAATCTCTGGGCTGGGCAGAGAAAACAGGAGAAGGCAAAAAAAAAAAAAAAAAAGAAACAGAGACCGCCCACCGGAAATCACGGCAGAGTGCTTTCCCAGCCATCAGATCACAAATGGTCTGATGGTGGTGGTTGCCTCAACAGTGAACAAAGTAACTGCCACATTTTTTTCTCTGGAATAAACTCGACTTCTGTCAGCAGTGATCCTGACACCCTCCATATACTCCGTGATTGGAGGAGGGTTCCACCCAATGAGATAATTGCACAACAACAAGCAAAAAATACTGAAAATCTTCTATCCAGTGGGCCTATTGCCGATCCCACCCTCTTTTGGGATTGATTGGCCATAGCCCCAACGGATTGAAAAGATTTTGGCGGGAAGCTTCCTCCTTTGCACCGGCATGCCCAGCGAGTGTTAAGGAGAGGAGGAGGGGAACAAAGATCTCCTTACTTTTGAAAGGCACTCCCCGATGCAGACCCCAGATTTGAATTTCAGGGTCAAGGTCCCAAGTCGGTCAGTTTCAGAAAAGTCACAGTCGGGTACCTTTTACGAATCAAGTCCGACAGGCACCCCCCGGTGAACGGTCACATCCCAGAGGCAAATGCTGCGCCCTAAAAGCGAAAAAGTCACGTCTCATATTGAAGAGACGCATTGAAAAGTCAAACCCCACAGGGAAAGGACACTTCTCCAGACAGAAAAAGTCGTGTCCCAGCAGAGGCAAGAGTCACATCCCACAGTCAAAAGTCAAAAGTCATGCTCCACAGGTGAAAAGTCAAAAGTCATGCTCCACAGGTGAAAAGTCAAAAGTCGCATTCCACAGTCAAAAGTCAAAAGTCATGCTCCACAGGTGAAAAGTCAAAAGTCATGCTCCACAGGTGAAAAGTCAAAAGTCATGCTCCACAGGTGAAAAGTCAAAAGTCACATCCCACAGTCAAAAGTCATGCTCCACAGGTGAAAAGTCAAAGTCAACTTTTTGTTTGACTCACAGGCCCGAGCAGCAGCACACCGATGAAAATCCGGGAAAGTACACCGGGTCTTTTGGCATTCTGAAGCAAGCAGGCCGTGGGCATGTGGTACCACCGTACCAGTACCAAGTCAAGCCACAAGAAGCAGAGGCTGGGAAGAGTTGAAGCTCAATCCAAGTCAATATAAGGACTGGCCAGCCACGTTTTGGGCAGATTGCACATTCGTGAGAAGTGTGGAAGTGCTGCTGAAGCGCTTATGCGCTATCTGCGAGCAGCATGCGCACGAGAGCCCTGCTGGGGCAGCGCTGCACTGAGAGGGGAGGCGGTCATAACCGCATAGCTAGTGATAGGAGGTAGAGCTGAGTAGCAGCGGATGTATTCAGAGTCAAGATTCTCAAGGAGAGAGAGAGAGAGAGAGAGAGAGAGA